AGCCTCACTGAGAACCCAGAGGACCGGCCATTTGGCCCCCAACGCGGGACACACTGGCTCGGGGAAGACCAGGCAGCGGCTGTTGCAACAGTCATTTGCTGTGGACAGTAGCTGGATTTGAAATGTTCTGGAGCCCTAACCGGGGTGCTGAGTGGTTAGAGCGTCGGCTTGCGGACTGCAGGGTCCCGGGGTCAGTTCCAGCCAAGGGCACGTACCTCGGCTGCAGGCTCCATCCCTGGCCCCGGTCGGGGCTTGTGCAGGAGGCGACCCATCATTGTCTCTCCCACATCGATGTTTCTCTCTCCCCCTTCCACTCTCCGAAAAGCAAAGGAAAAAATATCCTCGGGTGAGGGTTTTAAACAAAAACACCACCAAAAAAAAGTTTCAGAGCCAATCACGGAGTGTGTCGGGACGCGTGCTTCCTGGGGCGAGGCGGCCGGCGTGTGGAGCTTATTCTGTCGCCAGCTGATCTGCGGGCCTGGTGAGCTCTGTGAAACTGACAGCGGTGGTGGCGCCGTGCCAGGTGTTCTGATGGCCGTCACTGGCTGAGGCGTGCTCCATCCAGTGTCCCCGGGCCGGCTTGGCCCGCCCGGCCCTCCGAGCGCCCTGAGCGGGGCCCTGCTCCTCCCGCCCGCCCCGCACTCGCCCCGTGTGCGGGGCCTGGCGCTCCTGTCCTCAGCCGCGCTCTCCAGGGGGGTGTCCTGGCGGCTGTGCGCGGAGGCCAGGGCCGCCCTTCCCAGGTCCTAGCAGGCCATCCCTCTGCTCACGTGGGATGACAGGGCCATTCAGGCAGGTGTCAGTCCACTTCCTCAGTGACACCTCGGTGCTGATTTCCCCACCGTGGCCCAGAGCTGGGAGAGCCCTTGAATGCTACGCTCAAGCCGGCACTTGCCCTCTGCCTGCCCTGGCTCCTGTCCCTCCTGTCTTGGGGACTGACCTGAGCCAAGAGGCTGGGGAACGACACTGCTCTTTATTTTGAAATAGGCTGGGAGTTCGGCCCATCGAGTCTTTTGATCCAAGGGTGTTCGAGCAAAACCTTGAGCTTGAGAGTGCAGGCCCTCAAATGGCTGGCGGGGGCTTTTCCCTCAGAACGAGCAGCCGGCCTCTGAGGTGCACTGAAGGAAAAGAGGGCAGAGGTGGCATTGATCATGGAAAAAATCAAAAGTGTCAGAAAAAAGGCCATCGTTTTGTTTGCAGAATTCGGTTAGAGGTTGGTACTGGTATTGCGCAACCAAACTGTTAAGGACTCACAGGACCAATGGCCTGGGCCTCTGCCCTGTGCTGCTGTTGTGAGCATCCTGCTCAGACCAGTTGCAACACAACCATCACTGGCCTAAGCTGACCTATGCTGACCTGTTAACAATGGTTCCAGGAAGGCCCTCAGGACTCTGGGAGGTGGCTCCTTACATCCGACCAGGGCTGCTCCTCCCTGTACGAGCAAGGCCTCGGCCTCCTTACTGAAAGCAGGTTTCTGCTTCAACTACCAACGCCAAGACTTGGTGCACGTGTTGTCCCCCAGACAACCCAGGCAGGCTGAGCAAACTCTCATGAGAAGGCTGATGGGCGACGGGTCTGTGGGCAAGGCAGAGGAGCTGGCACCCAGATCCCGAGGATGGAATGCTGGCAAGTGGCCACCTTGCTGCCCTCTCTCCACCGCTTTGTCCTCTGGTCACCCACTTCCTGTCTTGCATTCCTCATGAGGCAGAGAAGCCCACGGCCCACAGCTTGGCAGATTTCCCGGCCCCCAGTCTCAAGTTTATTCCCTCTCCCTCGCTGGGTCCCACTCCTCTTTGTCTTGGGTCTAGTGAGAGTCCCAGGACTCGGTGGGGGCTGGAGCCAGCGCTGCCTCCTCTCTCTCAGGCCTCTGTCCACTTGCAAACCAGTGACAAGTGTTCCAGGTTCTACCTAACGGGAGACTTATTGGAACTTAGGGAACTGACTAGGAAGAATCCAAGTTAAAGGAACCATAAACTGAGGCTGAGCGTGCCACATGACTTTTTCACACCGCAAGTGTCTAAGACCTCAACAGCACACCGACATAACCACAGCTACAAAGTGCCTGCAAACTGCCCAGCTGGTGTGGCTCCATGGCTGAGTGTTAACCTATGAACCCGGAGGTCACGGTTTGATTTTCAGTTAGGGCACATGCCCCGGTTGTGGGCTTGATCCCCAGTAGGGAGCCAATCAGTGCCTCATCGCTGATACTTCTTTCCCTTTCTCTCTGAAATAAAAACATATTAAAAAAATAAAAAAGGCGCCCACTAACTCCTGGCTCTAAGTAGTAAGACTTCCAGCCTGAGTTATGTAGAGGTCAGTGTATGTTGTCCAACACTGGCTCTCAAGCTTCTCTTCATAGGGCGCACCCAGTCCTGGAAAGAGCATTTGCGGCTCTGCTACCCAAGGCCCAGAGTCATGGGAACAAAGCGGCAGTAACGGGAATGGGACATGCTAGGCTCTGGACACACTCTCAGTGTTGTGTCACCCAGTAAGCTGGTGTGTGGGGACAGCTGCCACCTCTCCCCCGCAGCAGTGCTGCAGCATCCCCTGCAGGCGCGCTGGCGGAGGGATCAGGGCGGCACTGCTGACTGGGGCACTGGTGCCCGACACAGCTTAAGCTGAAACAGGGCTGCCTGCCCTCGAGAGGATGGAGAAGGGCTTCGAACCCCAAGGGGAAGGCTGAGGAGGAAAAGGATGGCTGATCCATCAGAAGACTTGGGAGAAGTGCTGTCCTGGGAGAGGCTCCCCACTCACGGGAAGTCAAGAGTTCAGTCTCACTAAAAGAAAGCAGCCCATGAATTGCACAGAAATGGAAATGACTTCTAGATCGAAAGCTCTTACCTGGCGCGTCCCCCCCAGAGGAGGGAAGCGGCCCGCGTTGCATGATTAGACTCGCATTTCAGGACCGACGCCTGCGTGAGGGGCCACTGTGCTTGAAGTGAGTTCCCCGTTGGAAGCTGCCAAAGAAACGGACTTCGTGGAGGCAGGAGGCTGTGCAGGCCAGCACGCACTGAAGGGCAGAGGCGGGCGGGCTGGTCGCCTGGGCCCGGCCCGTCCTTCTTCTGGGAGAGCCGCACACATCCTGAGGAGCGCGCTGCGCGTACAGACAGACTGCCCGACGCCAGCGGCAGCTTCACGGAGCGCAGTGGCTACGGGCAGCACTGGATCGCGAGCGCGGCTATGCAGACACAGCAGATTCTATTTTTAACACTTTATTGGCAAAACAGAACTCCCTTCCCTCCCCCTTTCAGAGAACTAGGCTTTGTTTGTGTGGTTCACCTAACTCACCTGCTTAGCCAAGGCTACGAAGGCGACTGAGAGAGCAGCCCCCCCGCGCTGCCAGTCTGACCTGTTCCCGCAGGGGCCGTGCGCTCTCATCCGGAGGCGGCAGTAACGGGAATGGGACATGCTAGGCTTTAGAGAAACTTGGCCGTCTTATCTGCATTAGCTCAGGTTAGAAAGAAGAGTCACTATGAGCGCGGGCAAGTTCCAACGTGCAGCCTCTGGCCGAAGCACCTCAGGCTGGTGAGGAAGGAGGGGGCCCGTCCTGGCCTCTGTAAACGCGCCTTGCCTAACGCACGCTTCTGACACACAAACCCGCGACTCAGGAGTATCTGAGAAACCGGGGGAAAATAAGAG